AGCATAGTTCTGAGAACATATTTTCAATTCAAAGTAAGCAAGACATTAAAAACAGAACAAGAATGAAATAATATGACGAACCAGATCTAACTTTTTTATTAGAATTAATTTTAAAGAAAACAACGTTCTCCTATCGCGCCTATCGTCTGTCCTCTAAAAAAAAAACTTTTGCCTGATTCCCATCTACTACTAATTCTGGTGGGTCGGGCGGAATGCCCTCTTCAGCTTCCTTTTGGGAGTTGTGGGAACGGATGAAATGAAGACAGAACGAAGCTTAAGATTATCTGTAGAATACAATATTATTACTGCTTCAACATTAGCATGATCCGAAATGATCCAAGGAAACCACAGAAGTACTAGGCCCAGGCAAACGGATCCGGAATCGAGCTGCAGTTGTCCCGAAAGATAAGCAATGGTCTAAACCTCTAACCGAGCGGCATGGCCTAGAGGTCTAGACCATTGCTTAACATTCGGGAGGACGCCGGTTCGATTCCGGGTCCGTCTGCCTTGGTCCAAGTTCTTCTGTGGTTTTCTCGGATAACTTAGAGAAATGCTGGGGCAATAATACATCATTAAAGACAGTACAACTGTAGGGATAGACGTGCAAGGGCAAAAGATTAGTATGCTTAGATTTGCAGATGACATAGCAGTATTAGCATCTACCAAGGAGGAGTTAGAGATAGCTTTAAATAAAATGGAAGCGGTATTGACAACAGTACTGTATGAAAATAAATAAAAATAAAACAAAAATACTGGTATGCAAGGGAAGAAAAAGTAGAGAAAGAGCGAATATAAAAATAGGAGAAGAAAAATTAGAAGAAGTGGCTCAATTTAGCTATCTAGGAAGTCAAATAAGTCAGGACGAAAGGAGTAGTAGGGATATAAAGCAGAGGATAGTGCAGGGTCGAGCCCCCTTCAATAAAAAGAAGTCATTTCTATGCTCGCGAACGATTAATTTAGAAATTCGAAAAAGGTTGTTAAAGGTGTATGTTTGGAGCACGGCGCTGTACGGGTGCGAAACATAGACACTAGGCGCGGTGGAAAAGAAAAGGTTAGAAGCGTTCGAAATGTAGGGTTACAGGCGAATGATGAGGATACCGTGGATAGATAAGGTTAGAAATGAAGAGGTATTAGAAAGAATAGGAGAATAGAGGACTCCCGGGAAGTCAATGGGAAACAGGCAAGATAGGTTAGTAGGACACCTTCTCAGGCATGAAGGTCTAGTCAAAGACATATTAGAAGCAGAAACAGAAGTCAGAAGGGATAGAGGTAGACCTAGATTACATTACTGTTCACAAATAGTTAAGGATGTGGGTTATTCTAGTTTTAGGAAAATGTAAAGATTAGCTCAGGATAGGAAAGAGTGGAGATGCGTGTCCAACCAGTCTTAGGACTGACGACCTTATGATGATGGATAGCAATGTTTACACCCTGTATACAATCTAATCGATCATTATGTAAACAACTTGTTTTATAAGACGTTGTAGACATCCATTTTGAAATCAATTAGCTTACTGAGGGGTCGAAATTTAAATTTGTAATTGAACACTTCGTTTTCCATCGCAAACACCTTTTTAAAAGTTGCAGCACAGAGGGTGAGAATCTGCTGAGCAGAAGAACATTATGGAAGTCGAACATTTACGATCCTCGACTTACGTGTTCTGTTTTTGAAGAGCGCAATTTGGACACGTACCTATTACTAAAGCAAAACCCTTCCTCAATAATAGTTGACGCTATATCAGATAAGGAAAGATTGTTATCCGTTGCTATTGAACGTACGTAACACCTAATACCAAAAGATATTGTCAGTAACTGTCAATGGTCGATTCTACGTAGTGTGCCATACAGAATTTTTATATAAGAAGAGGGTAGGTGGATGCAATATGATGTAGTACCTACTGGAATTAGATATTAACGTTATATATCATAATTAAAATGANTAGAAATTTCAAAAGTTTCTTTGTTTTGCTTAGGTTCCAAACTATCCAATAGTAAATAATATAAATAACAAACACATTTAGTTGATATACACTAGTGGAGACATGCGAACCTAACATACGGATAAAATTCTAGTACATATAATAATTACAAAAGATCCTTGAAATCAAAAACCATTTTGAGATTGATTACCTTCAATTAAATTTCGAGATGTTATTTTAACCGTGCAGTTAAGACTTGATGATATTATAATTAATAAACACCGACAGACAGCAAACTTTACTTGACCTTTTCAAGGGTTCTCCGTTCACCAATTTTTTTTTTTTTATAATTTCAGCGGCATTCTTCTTCGTGGGTGACACGAAAGTACCGAGCAGTGCAGGTTACAAATTAAGAGACGAACATGGACGACCCGACAAATTACGAAGATATAACGGGGAAAGTATCACTCTTACATTGCCAGAAGGGAAAACACTGGGTAACATAAAATGGCTGTCCATTTGGTGCGAAGAATTCTCTGTAAGTCTACATAATAAATATCTAGTTTTGTGTGAACGCTGATTCTCATTTTTGAACACTACTTCACGATATTCAAATTTCCCCTGGATAAATGGTAGAAGAAAGACCTGAATTTGGATACTTTTTTTGTTCAACTTTTTCAACTGCTATTACCCCCATGAAAACACGACAAGAAAATACTACAAATGGCGTGGTGTGCGCCATCTGTAGTACGATGCTACATTTTAAAATTACGTATGCTCCAACAAGGTCCATTTAAAAATATGGATATCTACTTGTTGAAACGAATCCCGGCGTAGCTCACCTCAACGTGATAGGCACGTTACCATAATCGAACAAAATAATTCGAAGTGGTCTGTATTCTGTCGAAACTGCCAGACGCGGATCGCGATTTCGATCTTTTTGGATCTCATCAGCGC